GGAAAGCAAAACTCTACCAGCACAGAACTCCTCTGAGATCTAGGGGATGACTGAGCACGAGCTCAATGGTAGTTTCCACCATCTGGGTGCCAGGTGCCCAATGCCTGTAGGTGTTTCCATGGAATCACTTGGAAAACATGTGGCCTTCTATTTTTGGAATTACTCCCCACAGGAGGACAAATCTCTCTCCAAGAGGCTAGGAGGACTTAATCCTTAAAGTGCTCTCTATTATACAGACCAAAAGGCTTATGCCTCGGGAAAAATATGGCAAAGCCAGTTTTAATAGGAAAATCAATGTGTTTCACCAAAGTCGTTCTTTGAAGAGAGCAAGCTCTTATTACCACCTGGCATTGATTCTACTCGTCAACATCCGTCTTACTCCCCTGATGGAACTGTAAAGTCCCTGAATACAAGCCCCAGTTTAGAACAGAATTTCAGAGAGGGAAGGGATCTGACCTTTATATTTTACAGATAGTTCAATAAAGAGTTCAAACACCACATCACACATGGTGGATGACAGTTCAAATCCTGGCCCTGGCAGCTTCAGAAATATCCCGGGCGAATGTGTATGTGAGGTCCAAATCCTGATATGACTGAGAAATGGGAGAGGGATTTGTGGTGTGACCACGTCCCAGTGGGAAAATGATTCTCTCTCTATCTATCTCTATCTCTGTCTCTCTCTCTCTCTCTCTCTCAAGCGAATACATGTACCTTCTGGCAATTATTTAAAAAATGTTCAAGATGAAAGCAAAGCCCAGGCTGGTGTCCCCTTCAGCATGCAATACTGCCTTGCCTGTCTCTCATAACAGCTAATATAGGCATTCTCAACGGGGGTGGGGATGGGAGTGATATTGCCCTGAAGGTGCAAACATTGGTTCTGAGGAAGCAAAAAAGAAAATCTTACATGTTACAATTGTTTGTGGTCTTTCAAAGTTCTTACTTAGCAAATCTTATTTCTTAAGGAGAGCTTAAATTTTTCTCCTGTGGTGGGCCGATAATTTTAACAGGCTAAGAATCGATCTAGCCCACTGTGGTGCACAGAGTTGGAGTTTTACCGCTACCATGCTGCTGTGAGAGCTTTCGGCCTGGATTTCTAGCCTGCAATACCTCCTCCTCTCTCTACCTATGGATTTGGTCACCTTTGCCGGTACCTTGCTAGAGCTCATTCACACAGAAAAGAATTGAGGTCCGATTTGTGTAATAAAGCCAATTAGTCTTTCTCCAGCAACACTCTCATCCTGGTTCTACCCTGTTCAAACATTTCCAGTGGCTTCCCCTAGCTTTCAGAATGAAGTTCCAGCCAGTGAGCTTGAGGTTCAAAGCCCTGTGAAATCTGATTCACCCTAATTTTATAGTTCTAGCTTCCCACTGAGTTTTCTACTCTAGGAAGACTTACCACCTGTCTTCTGAACACTTCATGACCTTCTATCTTGAAGTCTTTCCCTCTCATCAAAAGCCTTCCCAGGGGCCAATAGGCAACATGGTAGTTAAGGTGTTGAACTCCCACATGGCCGACCGCAGTTCAAATCTTGGACCCAGTGACTTGAAAATCATGCTAGGCATGTGTGCATGCGTGCCCAAAATCCCAAGAAGAGAAGAGAGGAGAAGGGATTGTGGCGTGGCCATCCTCCTGGGGAGTGGTTTCTCACTTGCCCTCTCTGTGTCTCTCTCTAGCAAGTGCATGTGCCCTGTGGCCAGAAAAACAAAAGAAGAAAATGAAACAGAAAAGCTTTCCCAGCATACAACCCCTCTCCCACACTTCCCCACCATGGATTTTCTTTTCTTTTCTTTTTTAAAATTTGCTAAAGGGTGATCGTGCTCACAGGACAGAGTCAGAGAAAGAGAAAGAGAAAGGAAATACCACAATTCTTTCTTCTCCATTTCTCCATTGGGGATTTGTGACACACATGCACACATACACGGAGTGTTTTTCACGCTACTGGGCCTACAGCTCAAACCATAAGGTCAGCCATGTGGGATCTAGCCACCTTCATCACCATACCACTGACTGGTTCTAAATGGTTTCTTCGTTTGATTTTTCTTTTACATTACACTTCCCCATGAATATCAACCTTGCGTATTAGCTTAAGAAATTCATATGCGGGACCAGCAGTTAGCATAATGGCTATGTCACTGGACTCCCAAGGATGTCTTGGCTATCATAGAGATGTAGGAACCTGGGGGAGGGTAGCCAGCTCCAATTTCTCACAGAGAGAAGAGAAGGGGTGTTCCAGGCAGAGGGAATGTGCTGCAATGCACGGAGCAGCTACAGCAAGTGCAATGTCTGCATAAGACCACGGCAGTGCTTCTCAGGCTTTACTGGGCAGGGGAGTCACCCCAGGGGATTGTTAAGATGTAGATTCTTAGAGCCAGAGAATGACACCATGGTGGCTCAACTGTACCCACATGGGAAATGTCCCTAATTCACGTCCTGAGACCTTCCTGAGTATGCTGGGTATATAAGATGCCTCTAATCCAGGCCAGTTGGGACTGGAGGTGGATCACAGCATGAAGACTCTATTGGGGTACCTGTCTCTCCCTCTTTCTCTGTCATCTCTCTCTTTCTCTCGTGGATAAACAAAAGAAACTTTAAAAAAAAAAAGGTGCAGATTTTGACTTAATTGGTTGGAGCAAGGCATTTCTAATAAGCCCTCATGGGTTGCCAGGGATTACAACACTCTGACTTGAGCTGGGAACCCTCTTCTGCTTTCATTCTGAAAAGACACAGACCCTGTTAGTTTAGAGTGAATCCCACCTAGGAGAAAAATAGGATCCACTTTGCCTTCTCATTTCTTGGATATAAGAATATAATCCTGAATAGCTTGGGATCTAGGGCAGACCCAACATTTAGTTTTTATATCTGCCTCTCTCTTACATATATAAAGCCCCACCATAGTCTAGGTGAATGGTCACAGGGAAGCCTCACCCACAACAACAACGTGCCCCTTGCCCCTGTTCCCTTAAGGCTCCTTTGACAGAGTTGCAGGGTCCCCAATACAGTGACAAAAATGTGCATTGTTCCTCTTGACATTCCGGATGAGTAGTGTTGTGATTTGCTGTATACTGAATACAGTAAGGCCTCATTGTATCAGACTCTGTTAACCTGAAGTTGGTGATAATTTGGATAGTTAATGATTATTCTTCAAATTGCTTCTTCAAACATAGGACAAACGTAGACGTGATTATAAAATGTGATTATAAAAATTATTGGGACCAGCAGTTGGTGTAATGGCTATTTCTCTGGACTCCCATGTAGTTGACTGTGGTTCCAGTCCCAGATCCGGTGGCTTAAACTCACGCCAGGCGCAAGAGCCCAAGATCCTGAGAGGAGAATGGAGGAGGAGGGATTGCGGCATGGCTATCACCCCTGGCGGGTGATTTCTTGCTTTCTGTCTCTCTGTCTCTGTCTTTCTGGCGAGCGCACATGCCCTATAGCAAAAACCTCTCAAAAAAATTATTAAAATGTTCAAAAAGACTTCAAGGATCAGCTAGTGGCATGGTGGTTAAGGCAGCTGAATCCCACATGTATGATTACATGGTTCAAGTCCTGGACCCAGTGGCTTGAAAAACATGCTGGGGGCATGTGTGTGCATGCCCAAAATCCTGACTGGAGAATGGAGGAGAAGGGATTGTGGTGTGGCTACTCACTAGGAGTGCTTTTATCTATTTTTTTCTCTCTCTAATGAGCACATGAACCAGATAGAAAATTAAAAAACAATTCAAGTAAACTCACATGGCATTGGAAACACCCATTTATATATAAATAATCATTCAATCTTTACAAGTTATTTTCTAATTTGTTTATTTTATGTAAACCTCTAATAGGCAATGGCTGTGAATCTATTTCCAGGGCTGTGAAAAAGCAAGACTAATAATAACAACGGCAAATATTTATTGAGAGATGTAAATGTTTTTAGATATTTTTAATGTGAATAATCAAAAACATAAAAACAATTTGTCAAAATGACACTGTTGGATTTGGCCAGAATGCATCTACTCCAGGAAGACCCCTGCACTTGGGTATAAAGTGACACGTTTTCCATTCTGGTGTGACCTCCACTGCTCAGGCCGGAAAGCCATTGGAAATGGAAGGACATCCTTCTTCAGGGGACATTATTTCACTGAAGAACAGCTAGAAAGACAAACTATGTAGGGGCCATCTGCTTATCATAGAGGGCTAGAGTTTAGCCTAATTTGAGGCATATCATTTTGATTTCCTTCCAACCCCCAATGTTCAACAAACATAGTCTGAACACTGACATTTGAAATGCAGAAACAAAATGAAAATTTCAAGCCAGATCTGCTTTTCAAAAAAAAAGCATTTTCGTGCTATCCCATCATATCTACGGTTAGACTATCTGCACCCAATCTTTGTGAAGCAATTCACTGTTTAGAGATTCTCATAATAGGTTTATCTGTTTATATGTTGAGCTGCACATGTTCAATGAAAATAAACCAATTCCTTGACTCTTTTCAAGTGAATTAACAGAACACTGAAATATATGTAGTTTGAAGTGACATAATTCTGGTAAACCACCAAGGCGTTTTGGCTTTCAGTAGAACTGCATTGACTTATTGTGTACAGTTGAAGGGTTGCATCTTTCAGATCTATTACTTTTTATAGATGACTTTTCCTTTAGCTATAACATATTCGATTAATTCATGGTGGCCTCCGAACTGATAAATCAAATGCTCCCATCTAGAAAGAAATTAAACATTATTTCAATCCATATAAATAGAAATGATCACATTCTCAATAAATTCTAATTACAAATGCATTCTCTGAAGATTTATTTACACCAGGTCATTGCTATTTGGGCTTTTTAAAAAGCAGTGCATAGCTAACTGGTCTATGGTAAATCAAATTTGTTTAATAATATTATTTAATCACTTGATTTTAAAATATTTGCTTTGAGTGATGCACTAATTAAAATATCAGCATTAAAGAAATGTTTTGAGAGATTTTTGCTATAGGGCACATGGGCTCACCAGAGAAACAGAGAGAGACAGAAACAGAAAGCAAGAATTCATCCCCACCAAGGGCGGTGGCCACACCCCAACCCCTTCTCCATTTTCCTCTTGGGATCTTGGGTACACACGCACCCGCACCTGGTGTGAGTTTCAAGTCATGGGTCAGGAATTCAAATCACAGTTGGCCACGTGACAGCCCTGCATCTTAACCACTACGCCACCTGCTGGCCCCATCAGCATTATTTGTGATAGAGGTAGTGGTTTCTGAGCACAGGGAGTAGAATTACAGAGCTGCTCTCTCTCTTCTGCTAAACATGAAGTCCAAGAGCTGTGACAGGTTCACCAGAGTCAAGGAGTCACAGATTTACAACTTCTAAATTTAGAACAATAAGACCCAAATTGTCATATTGGAGAGCCAGGGGCATGAGACTGTGGGTGAGTCTTAAGAAACTAGGAATAGGAAAACTGAGCTAAGACTTTCGGGATCCAGTAAGTTTCAGAAGTCAGAGAGGGACTGAATCATGTGACAAGCCAGAGTTGGGAGCTAGCAGAAGGTCAGAAGCCAAGTAGAAAAACACAGACACATGCCAGCAGAGACAGCAAGTCCAGAGTCCGGGTAAACAGTGCTCCTGCACTCTGGAAATCTGAGGTTGAAGACAGATGGAGGCCCGAAAGCCTCATCTATCCTGCAGCTTCTGAGCTATAAGTAGAATTTCTGATTGGGAAAGATAGAAGGGATTCTGAGTCCAGAGACTGGCACTAATAATTAGCAAACAAAGGATTTAAGCTTAGTCTACACAGTGGGTATAAAATAAAGCAGCCAGGCTGGGTGGATACTCACCTTGCTTCGTTGATGATAATGACATCTCCCTGCTTGCCAACTTCCAAAGATCCATGTGTGTGAGATTTTCCCAGCGCATAAGCTGCATTGATGGTGGCAGCAGCCAAGGCCTCAGGCATGGACATTCGCATGTTTACACAGGCCAGATGCATGACCATTGGCTATGGGGGGAAGAGACAGGCGCAGGACGAAGGAAATGACCTGTTCACCGAGCTACCTAGGATGTTTCTCAACATGGCACAATAAATAAAGGCAACTAAATGACCTGGCTAAATTGCTAAGGGAAAATCTAAATTTTACACATAGCTTCTTATGCTTTGGAAAAGATTTTTTTAATGATAAAGATTGTATCTTTTTAAAAAAATATATTTGTTTTAATTTTTTAAAATATATTATCACCATTCAATTTAGACCAGAGAGAGACAAGCAGAGAGAAAAGAGAGTGAGAAAGTAAGCCGCCAGGTCCAGGACTTGAACTAAGGTCGGCCATGTGGGAGTCCAGTGCCTCAACCACCACGTCACCTGCTGGCCCGAGATTGTATCTTTAGTATGTATTTACAACTCTGCAAGGCCACTGTATAAGATGAAACTTCTCTCTTTGAGTCCCTGTATTCTCCAAAGAAGGAACCAGACCACTCAAAGGCTAAGTCATAAAATAACGCAACTAGAAGTGCTGCTCTTCTCTCTGGGCCTAGAGGCATTTCTGCAGTGCAGGAAGATCCAGTTACACTACTGTCCACCTTTTATTTTCTGTTTCACTGGAGAATATTTTTAGATCCTTTATACATTTTTAACAGTGAAATATTTATTAATTAGTTTAAAAATTATGTATATGTTCAGTAAATACTTTGTTCAGAAAAACACATAAAAAAGTAATTACCATTGAAAAGCAGTACGCATTAGGGTTGAAGTCACTGCCCAAAGCAACGATTACTCCTTCCTCTAACATCTTCCTGGCGCGAGGCTGCTTCAGTCTAGGGGAGGAAGAAAAGAAGCCAGTATTGAGAATTGGAGCTTTTGCAGAATAGCTGCTCAGAATAGAAGAGAACTTGCTATCCAAGCCTTTTAAGTTCTGGAAGGAGAAAGGATCTGGTAGAGCCAGGCAGAATCCAAGGACTCTCTTTTTATAGTTCTGCTTTTGAAATGACTTAGATATGATGAACTTAATTTATGCTTGCTTGTCTGGGCGATCAATATATTTTCAGAGATTCTTGATAGAGGAAAAAAAGAGAAATTGCAAATTTTAAAAAATTTAATAAACTTTTCTGTGATCCAAAATGAAGCAATTAATGAGGTCAAAATGACGCAATTTTGGTTCATTTCCATTTTGCAATTTTTTTATTCGTATCTTCTCCCTTTTCTTTTTTAAGGTTTCAAACATTTTTGTAGACCCTTTAAAATCTTGAAGGGCTGAGCATTTAATGTGTTTGTGCTTTGTCCTGGATTAGGTCTCACTTAATCTTCTTAGTGAACTATCATTTTTTTTAATATTTTTTTTTTTATTCAGGACAGATCATGTATATATACACATAGAAATAGAAAAAAGAGAGAAAGAGAGAGGGAGTGAGAGAGAGAGGAGCACCCTCCCACTTTGCGCAGGGTCTGGTCACACCAAGATCCTCTTCCCCTAGCCCTCCAGTTAGATCTTGGGCACAGTTTCTTGGCGTGTTTCAGGCTGACCAGACTGGGGATTTGAACCGCAATTGCCAATGTGGTATCTGGCTTCTCTAAAGCAGCACATTACCAGTGCTCCATGGAGATGGCCTGGAATCTTTGTTATTCTTTGGGACATAACTCAAATGTTAAGTCAAAGGCAGATACTAGTTAAAGTGATGAAGACAGATCTAATTCAGTCATTACTGCAGTAGTGAAAGAGCACAGTGTGAATTAAGCACAACTTCGATTTGTACAGAGGTAACAGGGCATTTTAAAGGGAGAACATGAGAGTAAGAAGAGAAAACGAGGTGGGCTGGGGCGTCAAGCGGAGTCAGAGAAATGGAAATTTACAAAAAGGAAGATGCTCAATGTATTAGCTGGCATTTATCCAGTTACTACATTGGAGAAACAGTCTTTTCCTGTCTGTATAACAGAAGGCAAGGATGTAAAGCAAGGTGCCCACTGAGTTAGGAAAGGGAGTGAGAGTGAGCTCCTGGAATGTTTGCCTTTCAAAGCGAGGCTTTCTGGTCCTTCAGGAGACAGTTCTGGTAGGACAAGGCCTATCTCAAAGGAGCAGAGAAAGGATTTATAACTGCAAGCTTTTAAAAGCATCCATTGTAAAGAGGGGCTTAGGGGGCCTACCCACTTGTCAATAGGTTTTGGAATGGAACAAGCAGTAAATTCTCCTGGTAGCACTCTTTCTCAGGCGGGTGCTGTAAGGGGAACTTGTGATGCAGGAGTGTTGGGTGATCAGACCCAACACCCATGCTGGTTCGTGTCCAATACTAACAAAGAATAAGAGATATAGACAGAGAGAGGGGATAGCAAAGCAGAACTTAAGAGAGGGAAGGAAGAACAGATCTCCCAAGCAGGGAGGGGTCCCGAATGGGTTGCTGAAGAAGAACTGGAGGTGAGGGGTTTTTATCTATTGGGTTGTCAGGAAAGTCTTGATGCATTTTTGCATAGAAAAACACATCATGATTTTCCTGACAAGCTGATAGTACTCTGAGCAATGAGCTGGCTTTCTGATAAGGAAGTGGGCTTTGGAAATAATCGCATGGTAGTCTGAGCAATTCAGTATCCTATTCTTCCTATGGTTAGCAGACTATAGTAATCTATATCTCTTGTTAGAATATAGTTACTAAATAGGAACTGTTGCCCTTAGCTACAGTTGCTTTGAGTTCCAATGCAGCCAATTTTTGACTATGAAAATTTAGTCACTGTGACTCCATCTTGGGCTTTTACCCTGTCTGTATTCAGTATTGCTATCTCCTGCCTTATTAGCAAGGAGTCATACATTCTTTAGGGTCACATAAAAGGGGTGTATATTATACATTAACCAGATCATAGGGGAAAAACACAGGTTTCATTAAGAAGAAAAACATAGTGACTTCCTTCTAGGTCCCTACTCTACCTACCTGTAGGTGGGCTCTAATTCCCATCTCACCTGGGTCAACCTAGAGATGCAGCTTTGAGCCATTAGAAACCATACTAGTGTGCATTCAAGTCTCTTAGTAATGGTGGGCATGAGGAGAGGTTGTGCTACAAGTCCTCAGATTTTTAAGAATTATTTACTTAATTTTATTTACTATTATTATTCATTTTGCTATAGGGCACATGCACTCACCAGAGAAAGATGGAGGTGGGAGAGTGAGGAAGCAAGTGGCCTGGTCTGGGACTCGAACTGTGGCTGGTCATGTGGGAGTCCAGTACCTCAACCACCACACCACCTGCTGCAGTTTTTAATAACCCAAGTTGATGCTTAGTCTAGAAGAGGGCTCAGAGAGGTTTTTTTTTTTTTTTTTTATTACCTCCTCTGGGAAGCCTTCCTAGGCATCCATACCAACAGGCACTTCCTCGGGCCTCCACAGCCCTGTCTTCCTCCATGTAAGCCCCTGTAATGCCAGACTGCTATTGTTTCATGATGAAGGCCGGACCGGCACTCGGCTCTAAGGGAGCAGGACTGCCTACTGGCTGGTCAACAGTTACCAGGGAAATCTTGGCCCTTCCTAGAGACCCTGGTCTACTTTTAGCCTTAAGTACATATAACTGGTTCATCCCCTCAACAGCTGTTAACTATGAGGAGACTTCAGAAAGTTTGTGGAAAAAAATAGAACTAAAAATCAAATTTATTTGGTACAAAAAATTTGATATCCACATATAGCTTTTTTATATCAGACATTTTCCATGAACTTTCTGAAGAACCCCTGCCCAACCACCACACAGACACACACACACACACACACACACACACACACATACACATTTAAACTACTACATTCCCCTCTACTGCTGGAAGTCCAGTGGTGGTTAAGGTTCATAGAAAGAACCATTTCTTTCTATTATAATTTGTTGTAGGGGCTAGTCCTGTTTCTGGCTGATGAATATTTTTCCTTAAATGAATGAGTGAATGATATCACTATATCCTAGGAGTGTACTGAAGGTGGCAAAGAGGAAGACAACTGTTAGCCATGCTCAAAATAGTTGGGTTTTATTAATGCTTTAAATAAAATTCACCCACGTTTGGCATTCAAAGCCCTCTACAAACTGAGCCTGACCTTTCTTCAGGCTTCATTTCTCAGCACTACTTTACCCAACAACACGCTGACGCTCCAACTACTGGGATTTTTATTTTTACATTTCTGAGTTTGCCTTCTCCGAGCCTAGAACATCCACCTCTTCCCAAGATGCATTCACACTACCAGATTCAGCTCACATCCTACCTACCCGTGTTCCTTTTTCCTGCTCACCCTCCCCGGAAGTGTCACCCTCTTTCGGAACTTCTATAGATCTTATTGCCTGTTCATTATCACATTTCATTTACCTGAACTGCAAGTTCTTTTTTATAAAGAATCATTTATTTAATTTTATTTACTGTTATTATTGCTTTTAATTTGCTATAAGGCACATGCACTCACCAGAAAGAGACAAAGAGAGAGGGAAAGTGTGAAAGCAAGCCACCGTCTGAGACTTGAACCATGGTTGGCCATGTGGGAGTCCAGCGCCTTAACCACCATGGTGCTTGCTTCCCTTTCCCCCACCCCTTCTTTTTTTTTTTTTTTTTTAATTTTGCTATAGGGCATGTGCACTAGCTGGAGAGAGAAAGAGAGAAAGTGGGATGGCCACACTACAATCCCTTCCCCTCCATCTTCCCCTCAGGATTTTTGGCATGCATGCACACATGCCTGGTGGGTTTTTCAAGCTGTCAGGTCCAGGACTTGCATCTTTCAGTCAACCATGTGGGATCTAGTAGCCTTAACCACCACACCACCTGGCTGGCTTTCTATTCTTTATGTAGCAGCCAGAGAGAACTTTTAGAAAATAAGGCAAATCATGATCATGTCACAGTGCTGTTAAGAACAGTGCTCCAGTAGCTGCCCATGCGCTTCCGGCCTGCACTATGGACTAAATACCCTCCATAATCTGCCCCTTCTCTGACCTCACCTCCTCCAGTATCTACCCCGTCTCTGACCTCACCTCTCAATTCAGGCTGGCACCTATTTGCACGTTGTTCCCCCCTTGAGAATGTCAGCTCCTAAGGACAAGCACTGGTTCTGTCCAACTTTTGCTGCACCCCAAGTGCCTGGCAACCAGTAGGCCTCAAAACATGTGTAGATATGTGAATTACTCAGTGACTTAGAGTGCAGAGGATGCTTGCCCTGGAAGTATTCCCGGTCTATGACTCAATTTGCAGACTTCATAAAACGTTTCCCAGCTACGATGACATGTGGGAGGAGGTGGGTGAAGCAGAGGCAGAGCGTGAGGAAAGGGTATGTTTTCAAATTTCCCTGCAGGGCGTTCTGATGGCCACCCCTCTCCTTTGGGAACTACCTGGGACAGGGGGTAGTATGAAGGGAGGTCCATACAAGCCAAGGAGAATATGTCCCAAATGCATTTAAACTTAGACACAAATACACATAAAATACATGATTCAAGGAAGCCCTTGAGTGGCATAAGGCAATGGTTATTCTGGAAGTGAGAGTCAAGGGTGTTAAGGACACAGATCAGAAAAATACAGAAACAAAGACGCCAGAGAGAAGAATGTAACCTTCTCCCCCATCACCCTTGTCACCCAAACAGGACACTAAACCGATCTGTGGCAATGGCAGACGAAGCTGCCGTAGAAGAGGAATAGACTTTGGAGCCTCAACTGTCCTTCAGTGCCACAAAGTCACAGATTGGTGCTCCATGTCAAGACATTCAAGGTGAGTTAAAGGAAGCTTTGTTTGTTTACTGTTTGTTTTTATGAATGCATATTTCTGGAGAGGTGGCAAATTAACCAAATTGAATATTGATTGATGACTTAGATTGACAACTATTGAGATTTGTAAGTAAAGTCGTTGCTCATACTGAGGACAGTGACAGGTGTTTCCTGACTGCGGTTCACGTGATTTCCTGAATGTGCATATTCTCTAAGAAAATAGTAGTAGGGCCAGCAGAGAGGGTGGTGCTTGAGATGCTGGGTTCCCACAATGTAGACCACAGTTCGAATCCCAGGCCCAGTGGCTTGAAAATCACAACAAATAAATAGATAAATAAATAAACAAATGTTAAAAAATAAAATAGTAATAATAAAAATGTTTTGTATTGTATGCATGCACCTACAAAATCATAATAAATTTGAGAAAAGCATTGAAATAGTTTCTTCTTCTCCCTTCTAAAAGTTACTTGAAATCTAAACTTTTTTATTTTTTAAATTATTCTATTTTATTTTTATTTATTGTTATTATTTTTATTTTTTAATTTGACCAGAGAAAGACAGACAGAGAGACGAAGAGAGAAGGAAAGTGAGAAAGCAAGCTGCCAGGTCTGGGACTTGAACCACAGTCAGCCATGTGGGAGTCCAGCACCAAAACCACCACGCCACCTACCAGCCCCTTTTTTTAAAATTATTTTATTTTGTTTTTATCTATTGAAACCTGAACTTTCTTGACCTCAGCATAATTTATGTCTTGTGCAAGATAATTATTTGATGTAGGAAGCTGTTCTGGGCATTGAGAGGGGTTTAGCAGCATTCCTTGTCTCCCCTGACTAGAGACCAGTGCATCCCCCTCACTGGGCTATCCAAAAATGTCTCCAGACATTGTCAATTGTACCCTGGGGTGGAGAACCACTGTCTTAAGGCTGTAACTGCAGAATGACCCCTAGAGAGCCACCCGTCCTAACCACCTGTCCTTAGCACCTAGTCCTAAGAGAAAATGCACTTCCTGTTGAATGCTGGCCTCTCACACCACAACTCGGTGACTGTCATGGAAGTGGCACAATGGGAAAAGTCCTCTGACCTTGGATCTCAAATTTGATAGAATTTGAGCAACAGTGGTTATAAAAGATGGACCAAGTGTATTCAGTTCACCCTGGGAGGAGCTGGACAATGGTGCAGGGGTAAACTTGAGGCTCTGCAAGGCTTGCCCCCACGGGAAGGTTCTGGATTGCATCCAGAAAGCCTCTCTGAATATATCATGCCCACAGTCTAGGGTTAGCTGAGGCTGGGCTATTGTGGTATCAAAATCCAATAGGGGGTGCTATCTCTCTTTCTCTGTATCTCTCACTATGAAGAAAGAAACTTAAAAAAGAAATCTCCAGAGAGATTTTACAAAATATGCATCTCATTGTTCCTCTCACTTCAGTATTTACGAGGACTCTGGTACACATTTATGGTATCAGCTAGTATCCTTAAGAGACAGCTTGGGGCCAGAAGGTAGTATATTGGTTAAGGGGCTGGACACCCACATGGCTGACCTGGTTCAAGTCCTGGATCTGGTGGCCTGAAACTCATGCTGGGCATGTGTGTGTGTATATATATGTCCCAAATCCCAGGAGAATGGCGGAGAAGGGACTGTAGCCTGGCCATCTCCCCCCCAGAGGGTGAGTTTTCATTTTCTCTCTCCCTATCTGTCTCTCCAGTGAGTGCACATGCCCTATGGCAAAAACCTAAAAAAAATTAAAAAAAAGAAAAAAGAAACAGTTCATTTAGATTCTGAATGCTGCTAAATATCTGTAATATCTTATGCAGGTTTTTTTTTTTTAAAGCACAGAGCCTATTTTATATTATAGAAGTAATACATACTGATTTTTTAAATTGGAAAATTCCAAAATCTAAGGAAACAGAAAGCACCACTGTCCTCAGTAAACAGCAATGATATCGTGTCTAGGCATCTTGGAAATCTGTGTCTTTACAGCTTTTAAATGCAACTCTTGTGCCAGAGGTAAGAAGCGACCTTACCTGAGCATGTAGGCTGTGGTGGGCAGTAGAACAGCAGAGCACCTGGCTGTTGCCATGGCAGCAATGCCTTCATCACTCACTTCCTCCAGGTGGCTGACTGCCTGGGCTCCTAGTTCAGCCCCGAGCTAAGCAGAATGGGCAGAGAGGAAAAGATTTAACAAGTAGCAACAACAAATCAATAGAGTACCATTACGTTGTTTTTCCTACAAAAATAGTGCTCTATTCTTAAGCTTGTCAACTACCTTTTATAAGCATAAGCCCAGGGGCCAGCAGATGGCATAATGTTTATGTTACTGGACTCCTACATAGTCAGTTGCAGTTGAGTCCCAGACCCAGGGGCTTAAAACTCGGCTGCATGCCCTAAAACCCAAGACAAGAATGGAGAAGGGACTGCACTGTAGCCATCTCCCTGGGGGGAGCGGGGGGGGGGGGGGGGGGGGGGGGGGGGAGTGATTTTCTTTCTTTCTGTCTCTGTCTCTCTCTGTCTCTCCAGAGAGCACACGTGCCCAATAGCAAAAATCTTTCTTAAAAAAACACAAAAACATAAGTCCTTGAATGGGTAAAGGGTCTATAATGCACATGCATTCGAAAAGTAGCTAGTGTACTTCAAAAACTAATCTTAAAAGCAAATGCTTTCAGATATTTTCTAAAACAGAAAATTTTATAAATCTTATGGATCAGAATAAAAATTTTCAGTAACATTTGAAATAAATCTTAACTATTATAGCATCATAAAAACACATAAAGATAGATATTTTTGGAATGCCATTGCACTTAGTGAAAACAGATGAGTTAACAAAACAAAATTAAAAAATGTGGATTCGGGGAGCCAGACAGTGGCACAGTGATAAAATGGGATTCTCTGCAAGGCTAATTCGCATGGAGGGTATTAGGTTTGTGTTTGCAGATGTCTCTGAGTCTCATCCAGGCCACGAGCATGCCTGTGATCCAGAGCCATCTGAGGCTGAGGGTGGATCATGGCAATAAGGCCCTGCTGGGGGTGCTGTCTCTCTCTCTCAGAGGAAAGAAAAAAACAGACTTTTCTTTAAATGTGGAGTCATATATATAATTTGAGAATACCAACTTGCACTTGATTTTTCTTCAGATGAGAGGTCTGGGCTAGATTGCTAACAGATCAGTTAAGAAAACCAAGTGGGGATAATGCTATGGTGAGAATGGTGTCATAATGGAAGCACTGACTTAACGTAGATTGCTTCTCTGCTTACTCTCATCATACTCTGAAACCTTAACTGGGCGTACTTCCACACACGTGCATGTTTAGTGCCCCAGGTTAAAAGATCATATGTTGGGCCAGCCAGGTGGCATGGTGGTTAAGGCGGCTGAATCCCACATGGCCAGCTGTAAGGTTCAAGTCCTGGACACGATGGCTTGAAAAACATGCTAAGTGCCTGTGCATGCGTGCCCAATATCCGGAGAGGAGAATGGAGGAGAAGGAATTGCAGTGTGACCATTCCCCTGGGAGGGGGAAGGGGCAGTGATTTCTCACTTTTTCTCTCTCTCTGTCTCTCTCTAGCAAGTGCACTCACCCTATAGCAAACCTAAATAAATAAATAAAAAGGTGATGTGTTAAGCATTTCAAGCAAAGGAAAGAAGACTGATTTTTGCTATTCTATCATGGCCCATGGTGGCTGTAATGCCCAGGACAGGAAAGAGCTGATTCCTTTGGTAACAGCTTGTCCAGGTCTAAGAGTATTTTGGATTGTGGTTCTGGAAAGTCTGATCCTCCATAAGACAGATTATATTCCCCAGGAGAAGTGTCCTTTTGACCTTGGGATCAACTTCACTTTTCCAGGCTTGATGTGTTTATGCTAGGTATTGATTCCTATTGAATTAATTCACTAGTCACTCTCTAGGACCAGAAGTATTGTGTTGACCCCCCCCAGTCTGCATTCATTCAACAAATATTCAACAAATGACTACTGAGAGCCATCCTACTCCAGGCACTGTGCCAACCTCAAGGGAGAAGGATACTCAAGGCCTAGGTGCAGTTCTCAGAGTGGATCACGGAGGCCATTAGCAGAGTAAATGCAGGGGAAAGCCATAACCTAGTCTTAGAAGGGTTTGGGAAGGAGTCCTAGAGGAGTGGTAAGTAAAATAAACCATGAAAGGGAGTCAGAGTTAGCCAGAAAAGGAGGAGTTTGAATCAGAGAAACAGTATGTATAATGACATGGAGTATGAGGAGTTCAGATACACCTCAACTTACGACGGGGTTAAATCCCAAAGCTGAAGATATCTTAAGTTGAAAATGCATTTAAAACACCTAACCTATCTAACATCATAGCTTAGCCTAGTCTAACTTAAATGTGCCCAGGACACTTACATTAGCCTATAGTTAGACAAAAGCATCTAACACAAAGTCTGTTTCATAATAAAGTGTTGAATATGTCATTTATTAAATACTGTCCTGAAAGTGAAAAACAGAATGGTTATAGTGGCACTCAAAATACAGTTCCTACTGAATGGCTATTGCATTTTTACTATCATGAAGTCGGTAAGTTCCATCAGAACCATCTATGGTTTATTGTGGATGGTTTATGGCAGAGAGGGCAGAGGAGATAAAAAGGGGGAAGAGAAAGAAGGGGGAAAATAGAGAGGTAAGCAATGGTTAGATGCTGGTAAGCCATGTTCAGAGTTTGGAATCTGTCCTAAGAGCAATAGTAAGCCTTTGTGTGGGTTTAAGCAATGGATTAAAGGAAGTGATTCAAGTGGAGGCAGGATTGGAGGCAAAGAGAATGACAGCTGTTGCTGGAACCCAGGTCAGATCTGATGTAGGTTTGAAAGAGGCAGAGAGGTGAGAGAAATGGATCTAGACATATTTAGGAGGAGAACTGGGAAGACTTGGCGGCAGGTGAGAATATGGTAGGTGAGGGGGAGGGAGGAGTCGAAATGATGTTCAAGATTTTTTTTTAGAGAGGTTTTAGTTATAGACCACATGGGTTCACTGTGGTGAGAGAGACAGACAGAGAGACAGAAAGTGAAAAATCACCCCCTAGGGGGGATGGCCATGCTGCAATCCTATCTCCTCTGGGGATTTTGGGCATGCACACACACACGCCTGGCATGAGTTTTTAAGTCATCGGGTCTGGGACTCGAACTGCAGTCAACTCCGTAGGAGTCCAATGACGTAACCATTATACCATCTGCTGGTCCTGTTGTTCGGGTTTTCGACTTAGGTAATAGACTGATGATGGTGTCATTCACTGGGCCAGGAAACACAAGACAAGATTTGGAAATGATTCAGAGTTGAAGTTGAACATGTGGTTGAGACAGTTGGGGTGCCTGCATCCAAGGCAGTTGTTTATTTAGCTCCAGGGTTTAGAAGAGACATGTCTAGAATCACAATGGCAGGGACTTTGTCCAAGGCTGAATTCTCAATACCTAGAACGATACCTGGTACAACTTAGCCATGCCGCTGTTTCTTTCTTTCTTTTTTTTTTGGAGAGGTTTTTCACGATAGGGTGCGTGCGCTCGCCAGACAGACAGAAAGAGTCATAGAGACAGAAAGCGAGAAATCACCGCCCAGGGGGGATGGTCACGCCACAATCCCTTCTTCTCCATTCTCCTCTCAGGATCTTGGGCATGCACGCACAAGCGCCCAGTGAGTTTTAAGCCACCAGGTCCGGGACACGAACCGTGGTCGACTACGTGGGAGTCCAGCGACATAGCCATTATGCTAACTGCTGGTTCCCATCATGCCACTGTTTCTTAAAAGGGAAAACAGATGAATCTAGGCAAGACGTAAAGATTTGAAAATCATCCTATGGCTACGAGTGTTGTGTACCACCCAAATTGATCTGGACGTTGTTACAGAAAATCCCTAGAAGCTACACATGAAATTAACATACTAGTTAGTTAACACTAACATGTTAGTGTGGGTTTAAAAAAAAAAAATACCAGAAGGTGTGTACACTTGCCAGAGAGAGAGAAAGTAAAAAAGCACCCCCCTCCCATCTTTCCCTTTCTTTAGTATTCTGGATATGCACACACACAAACACACACACACACACACACACACTCACACCCCAGGTCCGGGACTCAAACCATGCAGTCAGCCATGTGGGGGGATCCAGCCAACCTAACCACCATGCTACTGGCTGTCCTGCTAGTGTGGCTTTGTGTGTCAACCAAAATATGTGGTGAAGCTTATGCATGAGAGCATAGAAGTACTTCTCATTCTACCAATATCATCAGCAGAAGATAAAAAAAGTAAGTGATTAGCCAAAAACAGAGTAAGTTTCTAATAAAGGTCAGAGTTGCCAAGGCTCAGTCAGACCAATCTGCACATTGTTCAAACGCATTACCCATTCTCTATCTTCTCAAAAGCTACTCCGAACTTTGAACTAAGTTTTTGAAAGCACGACTGCACAAGAATGAGTGTTGATAAAGGAAGAGCCAAAGGCCAACCATACCTCAGCAGCCTTCATTGGGTGGAGCTCATCCCCGTGGAAGTTAATCTGTAAGCCGATGTCTTTTCCACTTTGAAGAATCCTCCTGGTGGAGTCGAGATCAAAGACGCCCTTCTCGCAGAACACGTCTATGTTGTCAACGTGTATTTCCCCGCTTCTGCCAAGTTCTTTCAGCTTTGGGAGATGGTTATTGATGATGTCATCAGCAGCTTCAGGGGCAGTTTTTCCCCTCAAGGAGGAAAATGAGATTACCATGAAAACATACACACACATACACACACACATGTATATAGTGAACACACACACACACACACATATATATATATATGGGTTCAAACTCCGGTCTGGTATCACTCTACGATCAGACTTTTCCACCACGCTATACTGCCTTTCCTACTGAATAGAAAGCAGGCTGCTATGTATTTCATATTCTGTTTGAAAATTTTCAAACAGGATCTTTCAAAAGTCTCCGTGAAGTTTTAAACTTTAATAATTTCAGAAATACAAATGCTAAAGACTTAGAACAAAGACCATTGAGAATATTAAATATTTATGTTTATTTTCTACCATAACAGGTTCATCTGCCAAGTTCTTTCAGCTTTGGGAGATGGTTATTGATGATGTCATCAGCAGCTTCAGGGGCAGTTTTTCCCCTCAAGGAGGAAAATGAGATTACCATGAAAACATACACACACATACACACACACATGTATATAGTGAACACACACACACACACACATATATATATATGGGTTCAAACTCCGGTCTGGTATCACTCTACGATCAGACTTTTCCACCACGCTATACTGCCTTTCCTACTGAATAGAAAGCAGGCTGCTATGTATTTCATATTCTGTTTGAAAATTTTCAAACAGGATCTTTCAAAAGTCTCCGTGAAGTTTTAAACTTTAATAATTTCAGAAATACAAATGCTAAAGACTTAGAACAAAGACCATTGAGAATATTAAATATTTATGTTTATTTTCTACCATAACAGGTTCTGTGAATTTTGAAAAATAAATTTAAGTGGTAATTTTCAGTTCCTGATTGAAGATGCAAAATAAAAATTGACATGAAAAATTTATACTTCTGTACAACATAGTGATTATACTTCATAAAAATGTATTGTATTCTTGGAAATTGCTAATAGATTTGAAGTGTTCTAGCTACAAAAAGTGAAAAGTATGTGAAGCAACTCATGTATTAATTAGCTCAATTTAGCCATTTCAAAATGTATACATATTTCAAAACAACATATTGTACCTGATAAATATGTACAATTTTAGTTGATAAATTTATATTTCAAAGATCACAAAACACATGTAAAAGAAATTTAAATAATTAAATAGTCAGATAATATTTATAAGTCTGTAGCACATATATACCTATGTTTTCAAAGCTTAAGACTGCACTAAGACTTTGTATGTTCAAGACTGGATTTCTTTAGCTCTTTCAGTTTGGGAACCAGGAGCCTTTCGACCTAGAAATTCCAGGAATAAAAGGAACTCCAAAGAGATAAGATGCAGGTACAGAAGGGGACAGGGTCCCCTATAGTAAAACCACATTGGAGAAATTTTTGAGCTAAAGGGGAAGGCTGAAAGATATTTACAACTGGAGAGCCAGCAGGTGCCATGGTGGTTAAGGTGCTGGACTCCCATTTCGCCAACTGCAGTTCGAGTCACAGACCTGGTAGCTTTCTGTCTCGTTCTCTCTGTCTTCTCTGGTGTGCTCATGTGCCCTATAGCAAATTAAATAATAATAAGTAAGATTGAGTAATAATTCCTTAAAGATATTTGCAACAATAAAAGAAAAATGCTTGCTGAGCACAGCATGGTGTGGTGTTGAATGTGGAGGAGGGCAAATGTGCTTACATTCTTGATTTGATTGTTGTACACTGTAGGCATGCTTCAAAAAAACACACCATACCTCGCAAAGATGTCAAACGATTCTATGTAAATCAGAAATTACAGTAAGAAATTTTTAAAAATCAATTTAAAAAGTTTGCTATTAAGCAAACAGATGAATGAGAACAAGAACCCTCTGAGTCACTTAGACTACAAGGTTTGATCTATCTCCAACAGAGTGTTACTAATAATCTCTAAAGTGCTTTTAAATCAATTAGTTATTCAAATTAACTTAAGTAATTTTTAAGGACCTGAAGGGGACATTTCCTCTTGCTAACCAAATGAGCTTGAAACATCGCCTTCCTGCAAACTGATGGGACACTAACAGATTGCCTTCTAGAACCACATGTGCGAGATGATTAGAACCGGATTATCTTTCCAAAGGCTTCTGCTGGTCTCCCTGCAAAAGTTAAGTGCCAAAACATCAATACTGTCCCCTTGGGGTCTCAGGGCAGCAGTGATTAAAAACTGGTACCACCACCACCACGATCCCCAAAGAAGGCAGCCCCACTGTTTTCTTCATGCCCTGAGTTAAGCCCTGCCTGCAAGGTGCTATTACTTGGGCACTGAATGAGCCCCGCAGTAAGTGGCCGAGATGCCGACGTCCAGCTCCCGACGGGCACGCTCAATCACGCGCAGCATCTTGAGCTCAGTCTCCAGGTTGAGGCCATATCCGCTCTTGCACTCCACCAGCGTGGTCCCAGCCCGCATCATGCACTGGAGTCGCTGCTGGAAGGAGCTGAACAGCTCCGCCTCCGAGGCTTGGCGCGTGCGCTCCACTGTGAAGTTGATCCCTCCTCCAGCCTGGTGTATATCCATGTATGTGGCTCCTGCCAACTGAACACATGGCTCACGCATAAGCCGGACAAAGGCAGTGAGGTTGCAGGCAGGTCTACTTCAGGGGCAACGTTAAAATGACAGGCACAGACTGGCAGGTGGCGCAGTGGCTAATGGAATTGGATTCCCACATGGTCAACTATAGTTCTAGTCATGGACTTGGCAGCTTGCTTCCTCAGTTCCCTTTTCTCTCTCTCTGATCAAAATAGTAATAATAACAACAACAACAATAACAAATGGAATGAAATAAATTACTTTTTTAAAAAAAGGACAGGTGGGGTACCAGCAGTTAGCGTAATGGCTATGTCGCTGGACTCCCACGTAGTCGACTGCGGTTCGTGTCCCGGACCCGGTGGCTTAGAACTCACGCCGGGCGCGTGTGCGTGCGTGCCCAAGATCCCGAGAGGAGAATGGAGGAGAAGGGATTGCGGCGTGACCATCCCCCCTGGGGGGGGATTTCTCGCTTTCTGTCTCTATGTCTCTCTCTGTCTGTCTGGCGAGCGCACGCACCCTATAGCGAAAATCCCTCCAAAAAAAAAAAAAAAAAAAAGGACAGGCATGGGCACCAACGGATCAGATCAGGGAAGATCAGGAAAGGTGTTGGGATTCATTGGAGGCCCCACTTCTGCCAGATGCTGGATTGGGGGCAGTTCTCCAGGGGGTCGGGAAGAAGACAAGTGGCAGAGATGGGTGATGTGATGGTCACTTGGGGTCTCAGGACAGCAGCGATTCAAAACTGGCACACGAGGGCTTAAACATTTTCACAACCTGGTCTGCCCCAGTGAGTACCAGCAGTTTCAGCCCTCCCTGCACACACCCCTACCTCAGTACATGTTAAAATCCGAAGCATTCGCGATTCAAGGAAATCCGCTCTGCTGCACGTACTCGTGCCTGCACTAGAGAGACCCAGGACCATTTCCACCTTTCAGTATTTGACCACCAGAGTTTGGAGCCTGAGTTTTGTCACTCAAGGATGTAAAGAAGCTCTAATGGGGGTCCCACTGGGCTCCAGCGACTCTGGGCAGCAAGGAGTGTGGTGCACACTGGAGACTGCCATCCTCCAGCTGGTGATCTCCGTCCACACCCTTCCCTTTCTCCTTCTGTATAATGAAAGGACTGGACTGCCAATCTCTAAGGTTGCTTTTGAGTCCAAAATTCTGTGATTTAATAAAATAGTCTTTAAAATAGCCCTAGTTTGTTGAGGAAGGCACATAGCATTTGAGGAAAAAAAATTGCTTGCTCAGAAATAATCCATGGGAGTCAGCCCATGGCATGGTGGTTAAGGCTGACTGCATGGTTCAAGTACTAGATCTGGACTTGAGAAACATGCCAGGTGCATGTGTGTACATGTTCAAAATCTCAAAAAGTGGGCGAAATGGAAGAGAAGGGATTGTGGGGTGACTAACCCTCATCAGGGGTGCTTTCCCACTTTCCCTCTCTGTCTGTCTGTCTCTCTCCAGTAAGCACACATGCCCTCTGGCAAAATTAAAAAGAAAAAAATATGGAAGTGGCTCCTTTCAGACAGTTAGAAGTTGACTATGGCTAGTATACGAATAACTTCAAGATTCTTTATGAGTCTTAATGAGAACAATGTAATACTTTATTTGTGCTATTAATAATATATTTTTCCAAGTCTGGCTCCAATAAATGGTGCTTGTCAAACTGTCTCTTGGAGCTCTTTCAAAGGCTACTAGAGATAGGTGCTTTGCAATGGGGGTAAAAGAAAGAGGAGAAATTAGTGGGCCAGAGAGTTGGCCTACTAGCTCTGCTCTAAAAGGAAGATTCCACAGCTAGAAATTTTCAGAAACTATTATACTTAAATGATTGCTAGTGGGCCAGCAGGTGGCATGGTAGTTAAGGTGCTGGACTTCCCCCATGACCAACCAGTTTGAGCTCTGGACCTGGTGGCTTGAAAAATCATACCAGGTGCATGTATGTACATGCCCAAAATCCCTAGAGAAGACTGGAGGAGGAGGGATTGTGGTGTGGCCATAACCTCTGTGAGTGATGTCTCTCTCTCTCTGTCTCCAGCGAACACACATGCCTATAGCAAAAACCTAAAATAAATAAATAAATAAATAAATGTTAAAAAATACTTTCGAAAAAGATTGCTAGCCTTGTGCATAGTATAAAACTTTAGGGTGGTTATAAATAAGTTCATTTTGTTATTTGGTTTTCATACCCAGGCCAGTAAAAATATTCATTAAAAAGACAGGTAGCAGTCTAGCTCCATGGCACAGTGGTAATGCACTGCTCGAGGAAGCTGGAATCCCACATGGCTACCACAGTTCACATCCGTGGCCCCATCAGCCTGAAATACACTGGGCAAGAGGGCAGATACCCAGGATCTGATAGCTGGAGGGCAGGAAAAGGGGTCATGGTGTGATCAGACCTTGTGGAGCACACGCATCTGGCCTCTGAGTCTCAGATAGTAACATGTACTCTATCATGAATAAAGGGAGAAAAGATATATATTGCAAAGTTCAATAGCCTATGGACACTTTAGAAAAAGACTTGTCTATGCTTGTGCTTTATTTTGATTTGCCATCACTTATTGTAGTTACCTTCATTGCAAACTCGTGAACTCTTTCGCCAGCCCACACGGGATGTGTGTGTGCATCCACCAGACCTGCAATCAATAAATTAACTCAGCTTACAGTTAAGAAACAGAGGCACTTAAATAGCTGGTGAACTAGACCATGCTGCTCTTGGAAAAGACTTCGCCATGGAGGAAGGGGAAGGGGAAATGTTTGCCTCTGTGGTTCCCTCCACAGAGAGAAAACAAGACCATCTCTGCATGTGGTTGGTGGAGAAGGCTCTGTGCTAATGGAGGAGGGGGACTGAACATGATGAAAACAGCCCTTAAAGGGATATAGCTCCCTTTTGCTCAATAAGTTCATGCTCACCAAACATGCTTTCCCACTAGTTGTCAAACCCCTCAGTTGAACAAAACCAAGGACTATACCATCGAGGAATAATCTGGATGTGAAAACAGAATAATGCAAGCCCCCACCCCAGTCCCTCAAAATTTTAAGAAGGAAAAATACAAAATCAGAAAGATTAACCTATCTTAAAGAAAGAAATATATTTTAAATTAAAAAGAAAAGCTGTAAAGCAAACATTTAAGCCCTTGGTTTATCCAGACCAATTCAGTAAAGTGTGCCTTTCCAGGTATTTTAAATACTATGGATTAAATGGCTTATTAATGACCTGATTGGACTAAACTCAAAAGTCCCTGTCTAGATAATTTTCTTATTATCTCCTTTTCTTTCTCACAATATTCCACCTGAATTTGTCTACTGACCTCCAAGAACCAGAAGGTAAAAATCTCTATCAGATATGTGCAATGAACATTTTAAAAATATAAGCATTTTCTATAAAGGCATATATAGAATTTTAATATAATATTTATAACATAAAAATTTCAAATATCTTCATATGAAATTGCATATAATAATGTAAAACATAAATATAAGACATCTATTTGAAACAGAATTTCAATTTTTTGAAAATTATTTTAATTTTTTAAAGAGATTTTTGTTGTAGGGCACATGAACTTGCCAGAGAAAGAGAAAGCAAGAAATCAGCGCCCTCCCCTCATCCACCCCTGCTGCCCAAGGGATAGTCATGCCACAATCCCTTCTCCTCCATTCTCCTCTTGGCATTTTGAGCACACATGTACATGTGCCCGGTGTGAGTTTCAAGCCACTGGGTCTGGGACTCGAACCTCAGTAGACCACATGGGAGTCCAGCGCCTTAAGCACTATGCCTCTCGCTGGCCCCCTGAAATTTGTTTTAGATGATTGCAAGAAACCATACAACATAAATAATATGGGGGGTGATGTTTAATTAGCTGATTTTGTTGTCAATCACTAAAGATGTATGTGAAGTACAGTAAAATCTTCAGAGTGTGTTTTTCTTCTCTTTTTCTCCCTAGAGCAAGGTCCTTTGTTTCATACTCTATCCAAATTTAGAGTACTTCTGAGAGGGATAGTAGTTTGCTTCTCCAATGCAATGGGTTAATAAAGTTCTTCAACTGATTTTGAAACTAAACACAGCAGAGCCAGCTTCTCTTCAGCCTGTACCACTCAGCCTGGGAAGAAGTGGCATGAATGAATGGGTCTGACTCCCAGATTTCCCTTTATCTGTTTGGCTACCTTAGATAAGGTATTTTACCCTTTCAGTTTTCTAATCTGGGACATGTAGGTAGTGAAACCAACCCTGTTGGGCAATTACAACAATTCAACATGAAATCATGTCTGCAAAGCAGCTAGATATTCAACAGTAGAATTTTAATGCAAGGAGCTATTGTCTTTTTCAATATTGCTGGGAGACCCTATGTAAAACAAGCTGCTACTCTCCCTCTGTACATTCCTTGAGCACCTTTGAAACTTCTTTCAGAGCTTTATTGAAAAAGAGATATTACCTGGTAGGATACATTTCCCAGAGCAGTCAATTCTTTCTTCAAAAGTTTCTTCAGAAAACTGTCTTTTGATCTCATCAGCAGGACCAATAGCTTTTATAAACCCATCGCTAAAAGAAAAAGAATTAAGAAATAATTACTAAAGTTTGGGAAAATCTTATGAGAAGGCTAGAGATTTGAAATATGTTTGCAGGCCCAGCCACAGTGACCCCCCATTGCTAAGACGCTCTCCTCCAAAGGCTGGGACCACATGGGAGGCCTGGGTTTGTTCTCCCCACCCCACAATCTAGAGGCTGTCTGAGAAAGTGGGTGACATGCACCTGTAGTCCCAGTTGAGAGGCTGAGGCAGGGGGTCACAATAGTGAGACACTGTCCTAAAACAATAAAAACAGTTTTTGGATGACTTAGTGTCAATCTGTCGACATTTATTGTGTTTCCTTCTTATACTAGAGTCTTTGGAAACGTGAGTGTAGCCACATTCAAAATGAAGTCAAATCGCATATAGCAGAGATCACATCATTCTCCAAGACCAATGTTCCCCTTTCCCACAGTTAGGAGAATCCTAAGTTTTAGCCGAATGAATGGCCATCCAGAATACAGACTATATTTACTTCCCCTCAGCCAGGTGTGGCCATGTGACTAAGTTCTAGGCAACAGAATTGTTTCCCATTCCTGTTCTTATTGGCTGGAATATAGATACCATATCTAGAGATAGAGAAGCCATCTTGGATCATGGAGTGACTGGGAAAGTGGGCCAGTTCCAGCAGAGAGATGAGGGGATGGGATCCTGAGGAGTCCATGGGGTACCATCAGCAACTAGCCCTGCATTCCTTACTCTGAATTTTTAGATAGGAGAGAAATATACTTCTATCTTACATCAGTCAATGTCAATATGTGTCTTCATCCCTCACTGCCAACTAGTGTTTTCAAAATCGAGATCCAGAGCTATAAACCAGAGAGCTGGAAAATTCTGTAAAAAGTCAGTGAGAATAAGGGATTTAGAGATGGCACTGCAGTGGTTTGGGGAACCTAACCAAATGTTAGGAATGTAAGAGTGGAAGAGTAGAAAATGTATAGATAATACGAAAGGAAAAGAAAACATGATTGTGTTGAGGGGGTAGTTATAGAGAAGACAGACTTGTGGATAGAATAAGAAATGAGGTTTTGAAACTTTAGTACCTGAAATGTTTAGTACCCTGATTAAAACAATTCCTTATTACTAAAGATTCTGTCTGGTCCAATTAGATAATCTACCCAATGTGCAAGGGAGTCGAGGGCTGGAAAGAACCAACAGGATTAGAAGCTGACCTTTGAATGAGAAAGGACAAACAGAATGCTATCACTTAAGACAAAGGTTCTCCTCTTCTGTCAGAGCTACGTCTCCCTGGACATGAAGTTATCTTAACCAAGACCCATAAGGCAAAGACCTGACAAACCATCCCAGGCAAAAAGTTAATGACTGGCATTGCTTTAAGAGGAGTTGTTTGAGGTGACCTTGTCTCAACAAGGTCAAACTTACAAAGAAATCTTTAACAACTTCACTGGGTGGTAGGAATTTTGGAAGCAACTGTTCCCTTCCTGATTCCTGGTGCTCTTCCTGATCCCTGATCACACAATTATCTACCTTTTGAGAGTATGGATGCTGTGGTTTGAATGTCCCCCAAATTTCACATGCTGAAGTTTGACTGTAATGGGACTAAGAGGGTGAAAACTTGATCCAATTATTTGGGCCTTTGGGAATAGATTAGTAATTGTGTGGTTAGAGCTAGGGGTCCCATGATTGAGTTCTAGTGGGTTTATGAGCAGAGGGAATGAAACAGACACATGGTACCCCTCCTACCATCTTCTTCTCCAAGACTCATGTTGTATCTATAATATATAGGGATTGACAACTCGTTGATCTTGCTGAGATTCATTCTAATCAAAACACACTATTACAATCCATCCTCCTGGGTTTAGAAATAGAACTTTCTCCCACCCCTCAGTTGCTTTATCAGTGCAGCTCTCCCCATCACACACACACACACACACACACACACACACACACACACACACTCATAGCTTACTCTCTTCTTGCCTACTACAGGAATCTGTGTCCCAGAAACACAGAGTCTGCCTAAGAAAAGGGATGCAGGAACCAGCCAGTCGTGTGGTGGTTGAGAGGGCTGGATCCCACATAGCCAACCATACGGTCTGAATCCTGGGCCCTGTGGCTTAAGGAACACATTGGGCATGTGTGTATGTAAGTCCAAAACCCCATACGGAGGGTGAAATGATGGAGGAGGGACTGCAGCATGACCATGCCGCACGGGAGTTGCTTTGTCACTTTCTATTTGTCTTTTTCCTATTTTCAGTGACTACATGCACTCTCTTGCAAAAATTTAAAAATTAATAAAATAGAGTCGAAAGGCTAGAGAACAATGTCTCCTATTTAAAAGGGGGAAAAAGTGATATGAAAATTGAAGAAAATCACCTAAATCATTGACTCTGAAAAAATTTTCACTATGAAACATTCAGATAACAGACCTAGAAGACATGCAAATACCCCACAAGGCTGGACGTCATCCGGCTGACCACTGGCTCAGATCTCCAGGCAGGCTTGCAAACATGCCAGGAGCATGCACATACATGTGTACAAATGTTCAGGATCCTGAGGAATTACAGGGCTGGGGAAAGGGATTCCAGTATTCCCTTATGATATATATCCCCTATTCCAAAGGGATAAGACCTCTTTAACAGTGCCCCCCTCCCATGCATGCACTGTCCTTCATAAAAAGGAAGAATTCAGAGAACAAAGTAGCAAACGTATTTCAATGCACCTTGAATCAGCAGATCGTTATTTCAAGTCTATATTTTGCATGTGTCTAAAACAGCAATGACAGCTAAATGAAAACAAAAATAACTCAGTCCTGTGTCAAACCAGTTATAGTTGACCAGCCAAGTTCTTAATATTTCTGCACACCTTTAAAAGAGAATTATTTATTTATTTAATTCCATTTGTTATTATTACTTTTTTTTTTTTTTTAATTTGACCCGATAGAGACAGAGAGAGAAAAGGAAAGCGAGAAAGCTAGCCATCAGGTTCGGGACTGGAACCGTGGTCAGTCCTATGGGAATCCAGCGCCTCTATTCACCACACCATTTGCCGGCCCCTCTGCAAATTTATTTTAATGAAATAAATCCAACAAATGCTAAGAACCCTGTGACAGACTCAAATCAAGACACTCCCTTGCAGACCACAAGTTGATTCCCTTCTCTTTTCCCCCTATTTGGTGTGGTTTCGATGTGAACATAAGTGGAAAGAACACATCTTAGAATCCAAGATTTCACACGGGTGGTATTTGTGTAATTTTTATAGATACTCTGTCTAGTTCCAACCTAGGTAGGAGTGATTCTATGTGCAATTCTCTTAACTGATTTTCACAGTTTTTTTTTATAGCTCCACCGGGAGCATTTCCATTCGTTTAGTAACTAAAAACACATGCACAAACCCATCTCTCGAGGCTGGGCTCTGACACAGCCCTAAGCAATCTCTATTAAGTGGCAGTCTGACTGATTCCTCTTGTGCAAACGCAGTGCCGTGGGGCTCTCAGGTTCAAGCCCTCATCCAGCTGGCATTCCCACTCCAGGTTGCCCTCTCAAACTTGACCTGTTCTGT